GGATGGTGACTCCACCACTCCCCTGGGCAGCCTGTTCCAATGCCTGACCACTCTTTCAGGAAAGAAATTTTTTCCAATCTCCAATCTAAACTTCCCCTGACACAACTTGAGGCCATGGAGCAGCAGTTTTCTGGGTCTCAAATGGAGACCTTGCGTTGAGCTGTGCGCTGTAGCACAGAGTTGAGCTCTGGGGCTGCCTTGCCGTGCAACGCTGCCATATATTATGTAGGCTAGGAGTGTGGGCATGCCAGCTGGGTGAAATGAAGCTCTAGGCCCAAGGCTTAATTTTGCTGCGGGTGTTATTACTCTGGATTGCAGCATGCTGACATGGTTATACTGCTTTTGGAAATGAGCTAGCTTGCCTGGAGCGTGGGTGGGAAAGTCCATACAGCACTGTGGTGTACCCTGCAGTCCACAGACCCAATGAGTTGGGAGTCTTTGGTTGTTTATTTCCTTTCTAAATATAAATTCAAGTGGGGGGTTGGACGCTTTCGTATTGCAGTGTTTTTGTTCACGGGTCAGCTTTATTGATAATGGTGGAGCTTAGGGTAAATGAAAGCAGAGTGCACGCTGTGGTCCCCGCTACAGAAACGGGAACGTATAAATTACGGTTGATTATTCCCCTGAGTTGTCATTATCGGTTAGTTCTCCTAGAAGGATGATGACAGAAATGGGTCATTAGAAGAATCGCGGATAAACTGATTGCCCTTGCACATGAGCTCTCAAGGGGTGTTTTATGGTTGGGGCAGTGTTGATGGAAACAGAGCAGTCTGCATGAGGAGAGGCTTGGCCAAACCTCTGGAGTGAGATTATGCAGCGCCAGCCCAAAATGTGTCTGGCTTCTTGCAGCATTCCTTGATTTAATGCTTTTCACTCTGGTATTAAATGCAGAGGTGTTGATATTTTATGTATAAGTGAACATGGTTCAATCCACTCATACCAGAGACGAAAGATGAGTTTAGAATAAAAATGATCTGTAGCAAGAACTTCTGTTCCAAAGCCTGTATGGAAAGGAGAGCCTGGTGGATGGGGTGCTAAAATTGGCCTCGGCAAAATTAGGCTATGTTCCTGCTTCTTCACAGACTTCTGTGTAACCGTGGGCAAGCTGCAGTCTCAGACACTCCCAGATATTAACAGGTCTCGCTCTTCTTCATGTCATTGAGATAGGTGCCTAAATAGAAGGTGAGCACTTAGGTATTTTAGAGAATGTAAGCCTTAATCTCTCTTCTCCTTTTGTGCTTGACAGAGGTGGCATGAAAGTAAATACATTGAAAAGCGTAAAGTGCTGAGATACCACAGTAATGAGGCCATTACTGAATGTGAGCATGTAATTAGATGGAAAATGTTTGCCTTCATAATGAATAGATGCTCTCACACATACATTCCTCAGTAAATTTTCAAGTTCATCCTTGCTGTAGTTCCACTAATTTCACTGTGTATCTGGGGATGGATTTGCTTTGGCAAAGCCAACCGAAGGGGAGAGCTTTCAGTCTCAGAGAACCAGACTGGACCATAAGGAGAACCAGGAAGATGAGACACCTAAAAAGATGGTGCAAGGAGCACAATGCTCTAAGGGCAAACCACAATCTTAAAATGTAGTTAGTGAAGCAGAATAACAGCTCAGCCTCATACGTACCAGCTCTGCAAAGCAAATTTCAGATGCTAAATATATTATCCACACCTACTCTTTTATTTCTGTTCAGGCAAGCTTAATTCTTTTGGCTGGTAAAATACACTCAGTGGAATAAATTTGAGAAGAAGTAGCAGCCTGATTTAGTTGTCACTTGCACTGGTTTTGTGCTTGTGTTTACGTGGGGATGAATAGGGCTCCTGGTATTAGCTGTGCCCTGAGTGTGCTCTCCTTCCAGCCTGCACGTTCTTGCTTGATCCAAATAATACCTGCAGAATCCCCACCAGCCTTGGTACTGTATAGAGAGGGCCTTGGTGCAGAATTATGTAGCAAATCGGATGTGTATTAAAGAAAAAGCCTAATTTTCTGATGTTGATCTCTGTTGGATTTAAGTAATTGGTCATACAATGCTCAGTTTTCTTTAAAGCCATCTATATTCTTACTTGAAAAAGTTGAGGCATCAGTCAGGGATGTGATGTCCTAGAGTTGATGACTGCAAGAAACTCACCCATTCATTGCCTGGAAAATTATCTGGGACATCCTGAAACAGCATCCTGTGAGGTGTTTTAGCTGTGGCACGTGCTTTAGCCTTAAAATCTAAGTCATCTGTAATGGTAGCATTGAGAGGGAAATCTAGACCTCAGTCCCCATCTTTTCAGACAACCAGGTATGGGCATGTGTGGGTGACCTAAAGCAGCACGGGAAGATAAGCTAAAAAAGTACTTTGTTTGCTCTTAGTTGTATTTCCTCACATGGGGCAGCCGTGGTTTTCTCCTTGATAGGACAAAGGGTAATGGCTTTAAACTAAAAGAGAGTAGATTTAGATTAGATCTAAGAAAGAAATTCTTCACTCTGAGGGTGGTGAAGGCCCTGGCCCAGGCTGCCCAGAGAAGCTGTGGCTGCCCCCTCCCTTGGTATGTTCAAGGCCAGGCTGGACGGGGCTTATGAGCAACCTGCTCTGGTGGAAGGTGTCCCTGCCCATGGCAGGGGGGCTGGAACTAGATGGTCTATAAGGTCCCTTCCAACCCAAACCATTCTGTGATGATTCTATGTTGCACATTGCCGTGCTCAGGTGGGATAGCAGTGAGGGTGTTTGTAGCAGTCCTTGGCTGTATACTGCTTCTCCGCTCAGCCCATCCCCTGTCCCAGCACAGCTGGGGAAGCCCTCCCAGGAGCTGCCAGGGGGTCCAGGGGCAGGACCTTTCCAGTGCTGCTCCATGCCACAGCTCTGCCCTTGCTGACCATTCGCAGGCCCTACTGTGATCCCAGTCAAATGCCCTCACCCTCAGCAAAGCAGTTCTCAGAGGGTAGTGGGGAAAGTGATATGACACCAGGGATGTATCTAGAGAAAAATGGAGGTGTTGGGCAAGGAGCAAATAGAGAGGGTCTCATCTCCATGAATTCCTGGGTCTCAGCACTCGCCTCTCTTGCATGTAATCAGAAATGAGCCCCTTCACCTTTCTGCCTGTAAATGGGATTGGTTTGGAAAATGCACTGAAATTATGTAGAAAATCTAAGCTTTCAGTCTGAAAGAAAGAAAAATTTTAAAATTCAAACAAGGAATTGTACAAATTAGCTGCGTATTTGTATTTAAAACTCATCCTGGTGGAGATTTTTCACTATTTTGAAATCCGCTCCTCCCGAAAAAACGGTGAATGCATTAAAAGAAAATCCATAAAATCCCTACTCCCCACTTATTTTTATTTTCACGGAGTTCCCTGCAGCCTGAGACCACCAACCAGGACTTCCACATGAGGAATGCTTCAGTGCATGTTACGATTTGTCAGTGCAAAGCAAAGTGACATCTCTGCGAGCACTGCAAGAGATTGTGTCTGGTAGTTACCTTGCATGGTTTCACATCAAGTCAAGCTGGAAGAGAGAGTCCTCTCTTGGGCTTTGTGTTTCTGACGGGTCTGAAGTCGTTACAGAATTCAGTCTCTCCGCACCACTAACATTGAATATTACTGCGGGAATTAGTCCACCTCTTGATAAAGCAGTTCTTTCCTTCCCAGATACGATCAGGAAACTATTTCATGTCAGAGCTCTGCTTTTCTGTCTAACGAGTAGGTCTTTGTTGACAAGATCTACTCTATCTCCAGCGTTACGCTGGGAGCCAGGCTGGCACCCCCAGCTAATGATTGGACTGAACTTTCCCCGCAGTAACTCGATAGCTGTACAGCTGTGCAGGCTCACAATTTGCTCCTCAATTGTCAGTCTCCTGACAGCTTTTTCAGTGGAACAGTTTGAGAGGAGTGGAGAGCCTTGCTTTGGAGACACAGAAGTGTTTTCACACCTGAAGTGTAATTTCACACCTTGTGTTGCTCAGTAGATAAGTGCGTAAAATAGCACATCAAATGGGAACAGAAGAGGACAGACATGCTGTAGACAAGAGACGGAGGCTTGTTATTTATTTCCTATCTTCAGCACACTCTGAAATAATACTCGCTTGCAGAAACCCAGGCACAGATTATGAAGGGATTCAGGAAGGGGCTTTTCTAGCCAAGTGATCTGTTACCGTCATGTGCAGAGCGAGGTGAAAACTTACACTGAGCAGGATCTGTGGAGCACTGGGACCACAGAGCTCTGCCTGAGACCACAGTATTAGCAACCACATAACTGAGGTGAACTGATTAATACAGGGGGCAGCGAGAGTTTCAAGGATGGGTTTACGGGAAAGCTGACTTGCACCGTCCCTTCTTTATATCTACTAGGCATTTTTACTCCTTGTATTGGCTTAAATAGTGAATAAAATTGACCTTGAGTCCACCAAAAATGTAAGGCGAGAATTTGGAGAAAGGCTTGAAACTATCACACGAGATCAAATCATTTCACAGTGTATGCAGGTTTCCTTTCCCTCTTTTTCAGGACCTTTTTTGTTTGGTATCTCAGATAATAGGTCACAGAGGCATTCTTCCAAAGGAAAGTGGTGGGGAGGCAAGTGCAGCCCAGGGAAGCCCTGATAAGACAGCTCCAATGGAGTCTGGTTGTGAGGGAGAGGAAGGGAAGGTGCAGACACACCATTTGACATGGAGAATCCATAGAGATGCTCATGGTTTCTGTTACTTAGACAGGCTTGCTAAGCTTGAGAACCGGATTTCCTGCTCGTTCCAAGGGGAAAAACAGGGCTGAAACACGCATCAGTTTGTTTCCTTCCTTCTCCGCACATGAATGTGAGGAAATCCCAGTGGTGCTTTCACATGCTGCTTCTCATCCCATGGATTTTACTAAGGAGCGCAGCCCAGCCCTCATCTGTTACTCACTGCAGAGAAAGCTGGTCTAATTGGAGGTTTCTTGGGTGTCTTTTGATCGCCTGGGGCTTTCATTTAGTCTGTCGCCTGTACCAAACATTATTTCCTCTTTTTTGTCCTAGACACCTACGGAAAGCTCTGCCTGCTCAACTCTATGGGCCAGGAGATGTCTCGCTGCAAGACCTCAATCCGTCGAGGACAGCCCAACCCCGTCTACAAGGAAACTTTCATCTTCCAGGTTGCCCTCTTCCAGCTCTCTGATGTCACGCTTATGATCTCCATATACAACAGACGCAGCATGAAACGCAAAGAGATGATCGGCTGGGTTTCCATGGGTCAGAACAGCAGCGGAGAGGAAGAGCAAAGTCATTGGCAGGAGATGAAGGAGTCAAAGGGGACACAGGTCTGCAGGTGGCACACACTGCTGGAGTCCTAGTGCTTACCGGGGCAGCCTGTGGGTCCTAGGACTACGAGCTGTCTTCCCGTGTTCTCAGTCAGCAGAAAACAGCTATCCCATGGCAAGCGCTGTGCTCTGACAGGTCACACACACTTCAATCTGACTTTTCAGTGTCGGCAGTCATGGGTAATAAAGGTGGCAAGGCCTGGGAAGCAAGTTCAGTTCTTGTCTTTCCTGTTTGTCCTGCATTTTCTACATCAAAATAATTAACCCTAGGGAGAAGCAATGGGAATACCTACAAAATCCTTTCCTTGGTCATTGTGTCGCTCATTTTGTCATAGCCTTAATCATCACAGACTGACTTTGATGCTGTTTTCTTCTGGGGCTAACTGTCTCTTCCCTCCCTCCCTTTATTTATACTAATGAAGTTTGCAAATATTCTCGACAGGCAGATAGCTCACAGGAAGGCTAACCTGCATGCAGATCACATTCTCTCCCTTTTATTATCATGTTTCAAAGTCTGAGAAATGAGCATTTGATACCACTGTAGACTGGATGATGTATTTTTCAGGCAGCATGGGAAAGCACTCTTGAATTCTTTGTCAGCTTTAAAGTGCCTAGACATTACTACTGTTTTCCTGTACTAATAGTTGATGTTAGGACTAAATACTACCAGTATTTTTAATTAGGCATCCTGTGCACCTGTTAGCCTGCATTGCCCTAGGTTTGCACAAGAGAGAACTACCATCAGTTTTATATTGCAATTATACAATGCATGTTTAGATGCTTACTGGAAGTTCAGGCTTCTGTCATCACGAATACCAAAAAAGACCAGAACAAGCTGCACATCCACCTTTGTGCCTGAATCACTCTTTTCTGCGTCATTGTTTTGCCCATGAGTTACTTTTTTTTTTAAAAGTGAGGTTCGTTGAGAGAAGCGTTTCTGTGAGCATTACACAGGGAGGCCTTAGATCCATGGTTTCTCTGCAATTCAGTTAAGCACGGCTCAGTTTGCTGAGGGCTCTTCTTCAATTGTGCCATGCTGTAATATCTTCTCGGGATCTGAAAGGGGACTGCTGTTGGCACACTGAGCAGCAGAGGATGCCAGACCGTGTCACATCATCTTCGGGGTGAGCTCCCTTGCAGGCCAGGAATAGGATCTGGGGTACCACCCTAGAGGGGCTGCTGGCTCTGCTGAGCTAACACGGGAGAAGTGTTTCGCTTCTTGCCTCTAACTGAAAACAATGCCAGAAGCAGGCTTGCTGGATGAGGTGGTGACACTTTTATGTAGTTAGTTTCCAGACTATTCTGTCATTTTCCATTTTAATCTTTTTTCCTGTCTCTGCGAGTTGAAGCTGTGGGGACGGTGGATAAGGGGACGTGTCTTTGCCACCTGACTGTTGAGAGCTCAGCGGTTGTGAGCTGTTGCGATGCTGTATGTGACACAGCAGAGGATGTGAATTGTCTAGTGATGGCATGTAGGCAGCAGGGTGCTGAGGTCTTCAGATGCTGTCAGCTGCCCAGTCTCCTGCTCTCTGCGCTCTCTAGGAGAGGACTGGCATTCCCCTGTTCTTGCTGATGGTAGCAAGACATGGGAAATATGTTGCTGAAAAGGTTTGTCTGTGCCAAATCACTTTGTGTTTTGTTTTTGTCATTTACTGAGACCTGGCACCAAATTCTCCCTCCTGCTGCACCAAGACCATCTCCTTCCCTTCAACGGTGCTGTGCAAATCTAACTAGTGCAAATTTTGGCACTGGCTGTTTGCCCAAAATCGAGCCTCGGTGCTGGTTTGCCTCTCCTCCAGGCTAGCCGGACCCTGCGGGGCAGTGGTGTGGTGCACGTGCGTTATCACTTGGTGTGGTACACACAGGCTTTGTCTGTCCTCAGGAGACAGGCAGAATAATCTGCGTGTAGAAGGACTGCTGGCATAGGTGAGACAAATTATCTTACAGGCTGTGGTTTTGTGTATTCTTATCACTTAACTGTCTGAGCATCATTTTTCCTGTGAGACTGGTGGGTATCCTATGCAGGAGGGTTGTCCTCCACTGCCTAGATAAGCTGGCGTGATATCTGCTTTGCATTACTGGGGCTTTGTATCACAAAGCAGGATCTAACCCAAATACAGCTCAGCAAACAATTTACATATTTGACTGCACTGTTAATGCTGCTGTATTACCAATGCGAGAGAAAATGAGCGTTTGAGTGGTAATCAGCAGAATAGAAATGTTTTTTTACCACACACTTTTCCTCTGGAAAAAAAGTAGAGGAAACAGCCCAATTCGAAAGGTGCATTTGCTGATTTCAGTTGTTTTCCAATCTGCATCTTTTTTCTTGAACTGCGTAAAATGTATATAGAAATGTTTATAAGTCATTTTAGTATCTGGGATGTGTATGTATAATAAACTTCTTGAGACTGTCTTCATAACTGCTTGAACCTGCAAAATGTTGCTTGTGCTTAGTGATTAACTAAGCGAAAAATGGAAGTTGATAATATGTTTCAGCAGTGAACTGGAGATAACCCAGAGTATATAATAGTGTGGTTTAAAAAAATTCTTGGAAAATATAATTTTAAAAAGCAAAGAAGTATACTGGGTTTGGACTTCCATGCTGTTTTCACATCAAGATCTTTTCTGAAGATAGGGCATTAAGGGAGCTGAATTTTAATATATAATTTCAGCGTAGAGTATTGGGAGTCAGAGGAAAGCAAGTGAAAATAGCTTACTTAGTAAGTTAATATCTGAGCACACGTTAAAACTTTGCTCTCAGTTGGAAGCAGGTTGCTGCATCCTCGCAACAACATTTTGGCTGGATGTTTTACCAGAAAAATTTGGAGGGAAAAGGGATGAGGCAAGAGGAGCACTGGGTTTTTGGAGCTGCTGCTAAACCTGTTGGCACATCCGTGCCTTGAGCAGTGCATTTGTGGAGTTCATTAAGTCCCTGCTGAAGCAATGGAGGAATTTAGGAAAGTTGGGATGAACACAGTGCTGGGCGTGCTGATGCTTGCTAGCCGTACTTTGGGATTTTTGTTGCTTTTGTGGTTTGTTCTTCTTTTCAGTATCAACTGTCTGTGAAGTGAAGGCTTTGCAGCAGCTCCCCTATATTCCAGAGCTCCCATAATTCTTCCCACTGGCAGATTGAATTAGTCATTGCTCATATCGGTACAGGCTGGGCTGTGGTCATGGGCTTTCCCAAGCAAATACCACTGCCCTTTCAGTCACTGCTTTAGCCCCTTGTTTCCTTTGGAAGTGACTGACAAGTCTAGATTTCCGGAAAGATTTCCGTTCCTTGGGAATCTTGTCTTGCACTTGGCAGTGGTCGGTAGCCTTGGGGCCCTGTGCTCTGCCAGTCTCCATCCACATGGATGCTGATGACCGATCTCTGCTTCTGTGGGGCTCCAGGAGGGGAGGAGAGTGGCGGGAGGGCCATGAGGAGTGCAGCAAGCGGGAAAGCCACGGCTGACCTGGGTCTGGGAATGCTTGGGCGCTTGCAGGTGCTAATGCTTGGAGGTTTCAGAATGTACTCATGTTTGCTAAGGTAATTCATCCCCTTTTGACACCACTGTTTGGAATCCCCTTATAGCTTATTTGAATTTTCTTCTCTTGGGGGGAAAAAGCTTGAAAACCCACAAAACCATTGGGTGGGAAGGAACTAACTGCACTGGCATAAGCCCACAATGTTGTGGGCAAGCGCTCTGGATACAGCTCTGTATCTCCGACAGCGTGGTTCAGCTAGTTGCAGTCTGTTCCTTCCTCTCTCCAGCCAGCACGCCTGTGTCCTGCTAGGCTCTGTGCTGTTATTTTGTTTTTTGTTTTTAATGTGTGTCGACAACAGAACAGAATGATCTCACCACGTTTATATTCCCTGTAATAATGCTGACTTTCAACTGATGCCCACAGAAATGAGTACCTCTTTTAGCCCTCTGAGCTGCAGCTATGGCTTACTGAAGTCCCCATTTGTAAAGGCTTTATCCGGATGCTCTGCTACTTCATTTGATTTGTTTGGGTTTCCTTTTTACCAGTGGTGTTGTTAATTACCTGGACCCTGCTGTGGCCTGCTTGCGCCTGTCGCTCTGGCTTGTCTGCGTTTCCGTTGCAGGGTAATGTGGGGCATGTAGCTCCCAGGGCACACGGACAATACCTGGATATATTTTTAGCGGCTGCAGAACCTGAGAAGTTATTTGGTGCTTTACAAAGTCGACTGATCTTCAGTCATGAATGTCTTCAGATGTTCTTGGACATGCAGAACCAAAGGCTGCCAGCTGCTATTGATCATTTGTCCAGCGTAAAGCTGGAGGTGGCAGCTTTGGCAGAGGAGCAGGCGTTTCCTCTGGTGGCAGTTCATTTTCTCCTTCAGCTGAAGCTGGTAATGACCTTGGAGCTAGCGTGCCTGCGGAGCTTTCTTTCCACTCCCATATTTATCATCATCTTTAATCTGTATGATCACTGCATTTCATCTCTCTGCCTCTCAGCTGCCTTCTGCCCTTCAGCACAAAAGGTGGCTAGAAAGGCTGAGCAAAGAATGTGGCCTTCCCTAGCGCATTGTCCCTGGGCTCAAGGGGAGCTGACCCCTGGAGGGGTCATCTTAAAGTTATGGTGCTCATAATCAAGACTTTGCCTCCCTGATCTCTAGTCTGCTGGTGAAGTTTGAAGCTTGTTGGTTGGGCTGTGATACTTCAATAATTGCAAAGTAGCAACACCATTCACCTCAGTGTGGACTAAGTTAATGACAGAGGAAACAACCTGTTCTGTATTTGCTTTCTTCTTTTTTTGCGTAAGCATCGTGTTCTGTAAAGGGACAACAGAGTCTGAAGGAATTAGTATGCAGGAGCATCCGCTTTCCATTTAAAATGTACTAAGTGTGATGTTTGTAACTATGGTTTGAGCAGAAAAAAAAAAAGCAGCCAGGGTTTGTAGAAGAGCTCACACTTTGAATGAGGGAGGTTTTTCCCTTCAGCGTGCGCTACCCCAGCAGACACGTTCTCATAGCCCAGGCAGCGATGCTGGCTCCCAGCTGATCTGCTTCTGTGATAAAAGCAGCCAGAAGCTGACAGATCCTGAAGCTTGGGAAGACATACAGGATAATTCAGCATAGCTGGTTTGGGTGTTTATTTGGAATCTGGTGCAGATTCAATAAGCTGTCATGCAA